ATACACATTGTGCCCATGGGCCCTGTGTAAATCTTAATTTGTAGGACAACTATCATTTCTGTTTATACCATTATAACTCCAGGCCCTCCCACACTGGGCTCTATGTAGCTGAATGATATCCTTCAACATAGCTCAATCCGGAAAACCCCTGTTACCAGCTTTTAAAGACCCAGGGCTGTTAGAAATGGTACCATCTTGTCTTTAATAGATGGCAATACAGTTAACCGTTGTTGTTGTTGTGATTGTGTAAATTTCAACCGTTAACGTCTCTCCTTGAATATTAGGCTTAATGTGGATGTGGATCTTATAATGTTCATTAGTATTGTTGATTGATTGAGATTTTAAAACAGTTGTGTGACTGCCAAAGTTGGGTGACTTTTTGTTCATTTGTAGATTAATAATCTTCATGGCCACCGACCCTACTTACTTAATCCCTAGTTTCTAATTAAGGACCATAACGATAGCCATGCAACAAAGCCGCCCTAGCTATCCTGGAAGAAATAATCTTAAGAAAATTGGGTTAATTCGATGGCTATTTTGATTCTCTGAAGCTTGCAATTTTCTGGACCGTCAGTGTTCCCATCGCCTGCAATATTCCCAATAATTCTTACATCTTCTTCTTCTTCTTTGATACTTCACTTTCATACATGCTTGATGTTGGGCAGACGCAGACAGTGAATGAGTGATGGTAGAGTTTGTTCGAAAAGCATTAGACATGATCGTAAAAGAAAGTTCTGTACGCACTCTATGAAGTATGAATCAAGCAAACAGATTAGTGTTGTCATTTACTGCAAAAGTCGGTATCCTGTAACTATCAAGATTGCCCTCTTTTTTTTCTTTTTTTTTTCCACACATGAATTATACTATAGTATATAATGTTATTTTAAAAAATGAACTAGTTTCTAGTCTAGTAGTACTTCTTTTCGTGAGAAAATTCATATTATCACGAATCGACCGGCTAAGATCTTACTCAGATCAATGGAAAACCTTTTCATTAGTGATAGTGCTGGGGATATGCTTAATTAGATTGTCTTCTTCATTTCTAATTTTATCTACTTTTCTGTGTGAAGAACTGCTTATTTTAGTTAAAAAACTAAAGGAATAAATAACCAGACGAGATGATCGAGCTTAGTTAATATTATATTTGGTTTGTGGCATTGGAACCCATGACTTTTCTCTTATGCCCGTTTTGCCCTCTGAGGCGGTATCTTTGTAATCAAGCTACTGAGATAGAGGAGGTCATCGCGGGGAGAGTTCACAGGGGAAATGCATTTCACTTTCTGTAACAGGCTGCAAGGCTGGGAGCTTGCAGCTTTGTGTTATTTACTGAGAGAGAGAGGCAGAGAGCAGAGCCGGTTCATTGATTTTGGAGGCCCTGTGCAAATATGGATGTCGAGGCCCTACATATACAAGTAGGAGAAAAAAATCCATATAGAAACAAAATTTTCCGACACGGGAAGAACACCTTTGGAAGAGCTTCCCAGAAAAATTTGTTTAGTCACTCTTCCAAATCACATAGCTGATAAATTGATTTTCCAATTTCAATGCTCGTTGAATTCTCATGTGAATGAGGGAGGGAGAAAAGAATTGTGATTTTGGGGAAAGGGCTAAAGCTTGGGTTTTTACAATCCAAAATTTGATGGAAGAGGGTGGTACACTGGTACGGAAGAGAAAAGGATTTATTTTGATGGAGGAGAGTGAGAGAGACTTACCAAAAGAAAAAAGAATATTATAATAAGAAGAGGAAAACGAATTAAATTAGGGCCTCTACTCTCTAAGTCGTGGAAGTTGTTGATAATTAATATTCAATTCAATTTTGGTTTTGTTTTTGGGGCCATGCATGTGGCGTTGTGGGGTGATATTTAATATTTCATTTTTATTTTCATGTTTTAATTAATTGAATGCGTTGACTCTGAAAAATTTGGGGCCCTTAAATTTTGGGGGCCCTGTGCGGTCGCACAGCTCGCACACCCCATGGGCCGCCTCTGGCAGAGAGGAGGCAGAAAAGAGAGGCAGCAGAGAGAGGGAGAGAGCACGCATTTATTTTTGTTTATGGTCATGTCTACCTTCTTTTTTTCCCCCTAGGGTTTGGACCTGTCTCTTTCACGCTTCAGAACGAAAACAAACACCAAGAGAACCAAAAACAAAGACTACTAGATCAGTGCTTGTGAATGATAGATAAAATATCCCTTAAATTTCATTCACACTGTTTGCATATAATTATCTTAGTTTTTTTTATATATATTTTATGTTATCATATAATTAAATTTGATTCTTTCAATTGATCAACTTGGTTTTCTATCCATATCTCACCTCCCAATAACACAAACTCATATATAGTACATTAGACAATTGGAATTTTGGATGGATATGGACCTCTCACTCTCTCTCTCTCTCTCTCTCTCTCTCTTTCTCTCTCTCTCTCTCTCTCTCTCTCTCTCATATGGACCTCTCACTCTCTCTCTCTCTCTCTCTCTCTCTCTCTCTCTCTCTCTCTCTCTCTCTCACACGCATACACTCTCATGCCGTCATGATGATGGTAATTTAGATAATGTTGGTGCTGGCGACATCAACTTTATTTTTCACTTTTCTGTCTAGGTTTAGATAATTATTTGTTCAATTTTATGGAGTGACCAAACAAGTTCAATTATGTTACAATTAATTTGGAATATGTGATGAAGTATTTTTTGGAATTTTAAGCATAAGTTGATGACATTATAATATGCCAATAGGAACCAAAATTTATAAAAAAAATAAAAATAAAAAAATAAAAAGTAAAATGACTCATGTCCCTGACTTTCTCGATTCTTTTTGGTCTGCAGCTGCCTGCATAACTAATAGTAATACTGCTACATGAGTACATGACCATGCAAGCATTTAAAAGATTAAAATGGCAGCAGCAGGGGTCCTATGGCTTTAAATATGGGATTAAACAAACACTTCAAACTCAAAGTGAGGATAATCAAATTGTTACTTATTATTAGAAATAATAAATTGGTCCTGTGAAAATGTCAGTGTCGGCCGGTTCATTTCTTGTCTTGAATGCATATGAAAAAGTAGAGTTCAGCTTTTGATTACGATTGAACTGCAACTACAGTCTATATTATATTAAACGTACGTTCTCAATTATTTTGCTGAGGATTCCACTTTCCTTGATTATTTTGCCTGCGTAACTTGTGTACATGAAGAAAAGCCTCTCTCTCTCTCTCTCTCTCTCTCTCTCTCTCTCAAACACACAATGTTTATAGTTTATAGGAGCCATTGACTGCTAGAAAATGGGGCTAAGCCGGCCACAGATCACAAGGCCGCAGCACCAAAACAGCAAATTAGCCAACTGAAAGGAAACAATATGCAAAGAGTATAAATATATAATGTATAGTCTTCATGCGAGAGTTAATATTAACAAACTAGTGCAACTTGGGTTGTGAAAATCTCACTGCTATATATATATATGATCAGTACATACATATACACATGTAGTAGTGGTCCCTCTCTCTGCATTCAGTGGTTGCTTTAAAGAACCTGCTTTGGTCCCTCCTCTACTCTACGAAGCTCTAGCCTATCTCTCTCTCTCTCTCTCTCTAGCTTGCTAAGCTACTTGAATAATCCCCTCTTGCATGTGAAGTATATACAACGCCAAACCCTAGCTACTCTTTTCTAATTATTCTCACTTATATATCATGCCTTTCGTCATCCAAAATATGTTGTGGATCAAATATAATTGTCTCAGATCGGAAGAAAGGGATTGTTCATAAAAGGGTATATTAAGTGGTACATTTCCCTAAATTGTATCGACATCTTGATGGGATGAGTCTGGCTAAACCCTATTAATTAATGAACAGTTTAAGACAATATCGATACAATTTCTCTTCTAATTAAATAGTTGCGAAGATGATGTACGCCCCGACAAAATTATCTAAATTTACAAATAGAGAAAGAATAATATTCTCTCAAACTTTTTTTTATAAAAAAACTATATATATAATGACATCCTCTTTACCCCTGATTAATTAGGGTTGTATATGTATATTTTTCTTTTGTTTCTGATGTGTGGTTTCTTGATTAAATTTATGCAATTCATGCTATGTGGAATACACCAAGAAAGCTATTTGTAGTTGCCGATAAAGTGTGAGAGGGAGAGCGATGGTCCCCCTTAAAAATAAACCAATATCTAGACCTAGAGAGTGTCTATTCAACAGTAAACTACGACCAAACTTATTCATTTATTAAGCAGTGATTGTTCAGTCTGCTCTGTGGTATGAACAAATTGATGAAATTTTTACTGCGGCTTCCCAGATTGACTTGTCAACATAAGGGGAGTCCACGTGGCTATAAATGTGCCATACCTTTTCCTTTTTCATTCCCATGCAACATGGTGCGGTAAATTCTAGCTAGCATCTTTTTCTTTACCAAATTGTGAATTATTTTTTAAAAAAAGTTTATATTCTCTCTCTCTCTCTCTCTCTCTCTCTCTCTCTCTCTCTCTCTTTCTCTCTCTCTCTCTCTCTCTCTCTCTCTCTCTCTCTCTCTCTCTCTCTCTCTCTCTCTCTCTCTCTCTCTCTCTCTCTCTCTCTCTCTCTCTCTCTCTCTCTCTCTCTCTCTCTCTCTCTCTCTCTCTCTCTCTCTCTCTCTCTCTCTCTCTCTCTCTCTCTCTCTCTCTCTCTCTCTCTCTCTCTCTCTCTCTCTCTCTCTCTCTCTCTCTCTCTCTCTCTCTCTCTCTCTCTCTCTCTCTCTCTCTCTCTCTCTCTCTCTCTCTCTCTCTCTCTCTCTCTCTCTCTCTCTCTCTCTCTCTCTCTCTCTCTCTCTCTCTCTCTCTCTCTCTCTCTCTCTCTCTCTCTCTCTCTCTCTCTCTCTCTCTCTCTCTCTCTCTCTCTCTCTCTCTCTCTCTCTCTCTCTCTCTCTCTCTCTCTCTCTCTCTCTCTCTCTCTCTCTCTCTCTCTCTCTCTCTCTCTCTCTCTCTCTCTCTCTCTCTCTCTCTCTCTCTCTCTCTCTTTCTGCAGCTAAGAGCCCCTAGGATGTTGAATTTGGTATACAGATGAGCTACACAAGCTCAGTAAGAAATTCAAGAGAGCATCATATATATGCATACTTAGCAAGAGGCTCAAAGCACTGTAGCATCCTCTTCCTCTCCTACTTATTCTGCTTCCTTGCTAATTAATGAATTAGTTTTGGACAGCTCTGATCTCAGCTGTTGCAACCTCAGTTTTCAGTCTCATGTGAGTACGGTTCATCTCCTAGTCCTATTTATGTATACCTTCCAACTTGGATTGATAAGAGATAAAGGTAATTTAGGGTTTCCAGTGTTGGAATTCGTATGAATTTCAACCAGCTTTTCCTCATCATGTTACTTCTCTTGAATGTGATACCTAAATTTTCCAATTAAATTTTCAACAGTTCAGATTTCAGTTCTTTAATTAGCTTCTTTCGAAGATTAAAATGGTATTTAGCAACTGATCATCCTACATGTAATATCTGCTAAATTTTCAGATTTGCAGATATGGGACATCCTTAATTGGAGGATTTCTATATATATATATATATGCAAAAATATATAGCTCTTTGGATCTTCGATGAGAATGTTTTCTTTCTCAAATCGAACCGATCACAGGTCAACTAGTTCATCATAAAGCAATTTTGCAAAAGAAATAAGCTCACATGGATTCTAATAAAGAATAATCTTATAAAAATGAAACAGACTTCCATGTGCCATCCCACAGTTTATTTTTCTTCTTATTCTTCTTCTTTTTTTCTTTTCAGTTGAATCATTGGAGCTCAAAGATGGGAGAATGATGTCGGACTTACAAGGATTTGAGCAATTGATGAAAGAAGTATGAGCTTATAATCAGAATTAAGTACAATGATATCAAATTCAAGGGAAAAGGGTTTCCAAGCAAAGCAAGAGGGCCACAACAACACCAATACTGATGGAAACAGTAGTAGTTTCAACAAGGCATCATCATCAAGTACTACTACTTCAAGGCAATGGTCTGGATTTAGAAATCCAAGGATTGTACGTGTCTCGCGCACCTTCGGAGGAAAAGATAGGCACAGCAAGGTTTCCACGGTGAGGGGATTGAGGGACAGGAGAATTAGGCTCTCAGTACCAACAGCCATTCAATTATATGACCTTCAAGACAGGCTTGGGCTTAGCCAGCCTAGTAAGGTAATAGACTGGCTGCTTGATGTTACTGAAGATGATATTGATAAGCTCCCACCTCTCCAAGTTCCTCATGGATTTGGTCATCAATTTCATCAGCAAATGCTAAATCCTCATCATTCTCATGATCAAGGTCACCATTCTAACAATTCTCTTGCTGCTGCTCCTTTCTTTGATGTAAATTCTTCATTTATGAAGGAGGCAGATCATCAAGCTCATCAAGTAGTTCATGACCATCAAAGAAGTTCTACTACTAGTAATGTGGGTGATCAGAAAGGCAAGTCAATCAAAACACCTGATGAACAAGATGACGATGATCAAAATCATCATCAAGATGGCAATATTGGGGGTGGACAACTCTTAGCTCAGAAGCTCTTTCCCCTAGGCAATCATCCTTCCTCCATACCTGGCCTGCTAAACAATGCCATGGCATACAATTACTATCATAATTATTCAGAGCCTTCAAGTTTATCTCTATCTCAATTTGGTGGCCATGGATTTGCACCAGTTCCCCAAATAGATCATCATAGCCATATGATGAGCAATACCTTATCATTTTCAACTTCAATGCCATCTGGATCTCAATTGTTCTTCTGTCCATCTACGGCAACACCCTCCCTTTTCGGTCCATATCCTCCATATATTACCAACCCGGTAGTGGAGAGTGGTACTACTACTAGTGAGCCAAGATCACAAGCCAACCATTTCCAATTTTTGAGCTCATCAAATTCACCAAATTTCCTACCAAATGCTCTCATGCCTTCTCTTCAGTCTTTGAAATCCTATCCAACATCGGTCAATCCCAAGCAGCTCCATTCGAATTCACAGGATAACAATGGAAGCCAACCAAACAAGGACCATAATTAATACCAGCTCCTGAACGCTTGTAAGTTCATATTGTTTACAATGGGAATGGAGGCTAATATATTGGTCTCACGATCTTGAAACATCTATATATATATATATATCATGCATCGATTAATTTTCACAACAGACGAGACATGGAAATCGATGAACTGAGGCATTAATGGAGGGGTTGGCTCGAGGAGCTAAGTATTTGATTTCTTCAGCACACAGCACAAGCTAGCTAGCAAGACATAAAGTTCATCTGATCATTATGTGGTGGTATTTCCTGCAAGACTTTTCCTCAGTCTCTCTCTCTCTCTCTCTGCGCAAAAAGCGACAAGAGTTAATAGTGAAAACTTCGTAAGTACGACAATGTTATATGTAGACATTTGCATACTAGTGATTGATCAGAGTGCTTATAATTTTATATACTATATACCACTACCATAGCCGATACGCATTTTATATATATACATGTTTGAGTTCATCTAATTGCATTCAAATGCACTTTTGAGGTATATATATGAGCTCATCTAATTTGGTCTCCAAGGAGATTATAGTCGTCATACTGGATCATAGGCATGACCGTTCGTTGAAGAGAACAGATATATTGTACAATATGCCTGCAGTCTTCTCCATACATTAGATATCCTCATCAAAGTAATAGTAATGTGGTTAATTTTGTTTAGTGATTCTATATCTTGACTATGTATAGCGAAATCATTAGGTTTGCATATCAAGGTTTCTCCCCTCTTTATCTGCCACACTACAAAAAAATGTGGCAACAGTCACCATTATTTGGTGACATGCCTTTTTTGGTTTTGGTGACTAAAGCCTTTAGTCACCTCAGCAAATGTCACCAAGTGTCACCAAATAATAGTGACTGTTGCCACTTTTTTTTTTTGTAGTGCCAGAAAAAAGAAGAATTTTTTCTAGTCTTTGCCAGTCTTGACATGCATGTGCTCGTGAGAGAATGACATGAAAGAATAGAAAGAAAGCAAAAAAAAAACGTGTGTGTGTGTATATATATATATATACAGAATGCTTCCATTGAGGGATCCCTCAAGTAAGTTTATTTGAGGGACACCCTTGTAGGGTCCACTCTGTATTGTATTTCACTAATCCAAACATTGTAGATATTCATTCAAAGATCATCTCTACAAAAAATACTTGAATCCGATATCGTTTGACCAGTTAATTAAATTATTGAAATTAAAGTACTTTCTTAGAGCACCGTGTTCATTGATTTTGTTGGTATCAATTAGATGCCTTAATGATTTTCAATTTGCATGATTTTTTTTGCAAGGATGATCTCTAAATGAAGGTGTGAAAAATAGATGGTTTGGATTGTTGAAAAAAAAATTGTAGGGACCCGAAAGGGTGTTCCTCAAATAATTTTATTTGAGAAATCCCTCAATAGAAGGGAGTTATATATATGGAAAAGCTTGCCAAGATCGCCGAATGGTGTTAATACATGTGTGCGCACACACACACATATATACATAATGTGATTATTTAAGCAACAAATTATGATGTGAAAAACGTATATATATATATATATATATATATATATATA